AGTGTTCTGCTTGGTAGGGAAAAATATCTGGTTCCCCTACCCAGTGGGCCCCTTGAGAAGCCATTCATTTCAGAATGAGTACTTGGTGTCTGGTGCCAAGACTGTACTTTGCTTCCTTGGCAAATGCTGCACAGCCTGGGGGACTGGAAGGACGGAAATGGTATGTTTATTCTTTTTTGACTTAGAATCTAGGAGTTATCAACCTCTCCCCTATTGACTTTTGGGGTTGGATAATTCTTTATCTTGGGTTGCTATCCTGGGCATATGTATGTGCGTGCCCAAGATCCCAAGAGGAAAATAGAGGAGAAAGGATTGCGGTGTGGCCATCCCCCCTAGGGGGTGATTTCTCACTTTCTGTCTCTCTTTGTTTTTCCAAAGGGTGTATGCACACTATAGCAAAAACCTCTCTAAAATGAAACAAAAAAATCTTTATTGTGATCATTGATTTTTTTTTTTTTGGAGAGATTTTCACTATAGGGCACGTGCGCTGCCAGACAGACAAAGACCGAGAAATAGAAAGCGAGAAATCACCCCCCAGGGGGGATGGCCGTGCCACAATCCCTTCTCCTCCATTCTCCTCTTGGGATCCTGGGCACGCACGCACATGCACCTGGCTTGAGTTTTAAGCCACCAGGTCTGGGACGCAAACCACAGTCGACTACGTGGGAGTCCAGCGACATAGCCATTACCGCTAACTGCTGGTCCCTGTGATCATTGATTTTGTGTGTCAGCCTGACTTATACAACAGTTAGCAGCATCCCTGGCCACTCCCTATTAGATGCTAATTCCCTTTCCTCTCTTCCCCCATTTGTGATGAACAACAGCATCTCCAAAGATTTTAGAGGTAAAATAGACCCAGTGTGAGAATTTGTACATAGTACTTCTTACAAGTAAGATTCAGTGAACAAATATGAGTAGATTTAGCTTTAGACAGTGATAGTATCTGAAAAAGCATCTGAAGTTAGGGTGGCAAGCACTTATCTTCAGGTTTTGGAATTACATGCTGGTACGTGATTGCAGAGTTAGATAGGTTTGGATTGAAACATGGCTCTGTAACTTACTAACATGTAACCTTGGGCAAGTTACTTAATTTTTCTGAACCTGTTTTTTCATCTGTCAAATAGTTATAAAGAAATAAAGAAATCTTAGGACCAGCAGATGGCTTAATGGTTATGTCATTAGACTCCTACGTTGTTGACTGCGATTTGAGTACCAGACCTGGTAGCTTAAACTCACACTAGGCATGTGTACGTGCATGCTCAAGATCCCAAGAGGAGAATAGAGAAGGGATTGCAGTGTGGCCATCCCCCCCCGGGGGTGATTTCTCACTTTCTGTCTCTGTTTTTCCAGGGAGTGAATACACCCTATAGCAAAAAAACTCTCTAAAACGAAACAAAAAAATCTTTATTGTGATCATTGATTTTGTGTGTCAGCCTGACTGAATGAAGGGATACCAAAATAACTGGTAAGTATTATTTATTCTTAGTCATTGCATTAATTATTCTCCATACATCAGTATGCACCAGGCCAGTCTCTCTTTTGCTTTTTACAATAAATATTCCTAGGTTTCTACAAGATTTTGCTTAATTTCCAGAGGTCTGAAAAAATTTCTTCTGACAATTTTGTCTCTACTGCTTTTATGGAGAGGTCCTGACTTTACCTTTTTTGCTGACATCCTATTCCATCTTTTTTTTTTTTACATTTTTAACATTTCTGAAATTGAATGTATCTTACAATCAATAGTTCAACATAATTAAATCAGCAGTATTTTTCTTAGTGATACATAAAATAATGATGTATCTTAGATTAAATGAGATGTCATGTGAGTCAATAAATTTTTTGCATAACTAGTTTGAGATAAATTTTATACAATTTCTAACTGAGTAAATACCCATTAAAACAGACAAATGCAGGTATCTATGGAGATATAGAGATAACCATTAGAGGATGTGGGTTGAGAAAATGATCTAAAAGTCTAGCCAATGACCAGAAATCACTAACAGTGATTGACAATTCCCTCTCTTCACTTTCTGTGAGGTCATGCAATTAACATTCCTCCTGACCTCAGGTTGCCTGAATTGAAATAACTGCTTCTCCACTTATTAGGTCTATATTTTTGACAAATCATTAAACTTTGCTGAGTTTCTTATCTGCAAAATGGAGATAATAATTCTTAGTGTAGTAAAGATTAAATAAGGTGAAGATTCTAAAAAGTATGGGGCATACCACTGGTGAGTTTAGCTAAAATTATTCTAGGTGGTACACATATATTAATAAATAACATTGCATTTCATTGAAAAGGTAATTTCCTTTGCAATTTTTTTTGCATCTTTCTATAATAACTTTAGGAGAAAGATTCAGTGTGGTATAAGCCAGTCTTCTCTGACTCTTTCAACCAGAAATTGATAAGAGAACAAGCCCAGGATTCTGACTTTTTAGCAGTCTTATATTTGTCTGTGGTTTTGGTTAATCTGGCTATAATATGTCTTGGAGACAACATAATTAAATCAGCAGTATTTTTCTTAGTGATACATAAAATAATGATGTATCTTAGATTAAATGAGATGTCATGTGAGTCAATAAATTTTTTGCATAACTAGTTTGAGATAAATTTTATACAATTTCTAACTGAGTAAATACCCATTAAAACAGACAAATGCAGGTATCTATGGAGATATAGAGATAACCATTAGAGGATGTGGGTTGAGAAAATGATCTAAAAGTCTAGCCAATGACCAGAAATCACTAACAGTGATTGACAATTCCCTCTCTTCACTTTCTGTGAGGTCATGCAATTAACATTCCTCCTGACCTCAGGTTGCCTGAATTGAAATAACTGCTTCTCCACTTATTAGGTCTATATTTTTGACAAATCATTAAACTTTGCTGAGTTTCTTATCTGCAAAATGGAGATAATAATTCTTAGTGTAGTAAAGATTAAATAAGGTGAAGATTCTAAAAAGTATGGGGCATACCACTGGTGAGTTTAGCTAAAATTATTCTAGGTGGTACACATATATTAATAAATAACATTGCATTTCATTGAAAAGGTAATTTCCTTTGCAATTTTTTTTGCATCTTTCTATAATAACTTTAGGAGAAAGATTCAGTGTGGTATAAGCCAGTCTTCTCTGACTCTTTCAACCAGAAATTGATAAGAGAACAAGCCCAGGATTCTGACTTTTTAGCAGTCTTATATTTGTCTGTGGTTTTGGTTAATCTGGCTATAATATGTCTTGGAGAAGATCTTCTTGGGTTGATTCTGTTTGGGTCCGTTGCATTTATGTATTTATGGACCAGCAGTTGGCATAATGGTTCCCATAGATTTAAAACGGAATCACGGTTCACACTCATGTTTCAGGTCTTCATTCTCCTGGCTTCCATCCCTGCCTTGAGAGACTTGGTCTTTATGAAGGCCATCTCCCCACTGAGAATAACTCACACTCAGAGATGCCTAGTATGTTATATATGAACATAATTAGGAATCAAAGAGGCAACTGTGAAAGCAGAAAATAAGAGATATATGTGACTCTGATGATGGACAGGACCTTGCCATGCCTTGGTAGTCTAGGCAAGATTGCCTCTGAATCCCTAACTCAAGGCTATTGCCACAACTGCTGCAATTACTGACAGGCTCAGGGTCTCCAGGCCACCAGTCCTGCTCCTAGGCTCTTGCTGTAGGGTGTACTGATTGTGTACCACTATGTCAACTTCGGACTTAGCTCTGTTTGAGTTTTTAAAATTTATTCCCTTAAACTCTACTCACATAAAACATTTACTAGTAGAATCAACTTTACCGGTAAGTTGAAGGGGAAGAGAAAGAATAATATTGCAGTCTCACAGACAGTTGCAAAATTAACCAAGCTCCCTGTTCTTGAAATGGTCTCCTACCCCAAGAGGACTCTCCTATGACTCTTCCTGCATCCCCTTAGCCCCAGCCCCCCCATCTCAAGAGCTTCTCTTCCTATCCACACCTCCACACCTTTTCCCCAATACTCTCTCCTCTTCACATTTCTTAGCCTCCCCTGCTTCTCCTCATGGGAGCTCCAAATAGAAGAATTCCAGCTCCTCTTGAAAGAAAGCCTAACTCTTGTTTTGTCATTTAGATACTTGACCTCCAGGTCACACATTCTAAGCAGCATATTACCATTTTGTCCCTATCAAACACGGTTCCTTTCCTAAACAAAAACATATTTATTAATATGATTGTAATGGTTTCAGGCAAATTGAATATTCATTGTTTCCATTTTGATTTTAAGAGAAATTAACACTTGTTCATGGGTCCCTAAAACTACAATGGGCCCTGACCACTAAGCCCACTAGCCAAGTTGGCCCTGATATATCACATTTTTCACTCTGCTCTAAATCACTGAAGAGAATTCCTCCCACTCTGAGGTTTCCCCCACAGACTGACTTTCTTGGTGCTCAATGCCAGCATGCATTCAGCAGGGGCCACAATGGATCTCATCTTACCACACTTTTTCTCTTTGTTCTAAGGAAATAGTGCAATGGCTGGTTCCCCTGCACTGTTTGGGGTGAAGGTGAGAAAACTCAGTCTGGGTAACATGGCTCCCCAGAAGACTCCTCACTGAGGTTAGGCAAAGAACAAGGACCAAATGACAGCAGAAGGATGAGGGAGTAGCAGGGAACACATGAACTTCTTCGGGTATGATGAACACTATGCTAAGCAATAGTCTGTTTAATAGTCATGAATATCTGAGAGGTGGTCAGCAACAAATAGATATAGGGCCTTTACTGTGTCAGGGTATGATGTCGAAAGCTCTACTTAGTTTATTTAATAATCGTAATCACCTGAGAAGTAGGTACTATTTGTCCCTGCTATACAGATGAAGATGTGCATGTTCAGAAAGCATTAAGTGAAGATCTATACGCACAGCTAAGAATAGAGGTGGAGCCCAGGATTGGTCATTGTGAGCTGAGTTTCAGGGACTATCCCAGGACTATGAGTGGCTCAAGTATTCTCAGCTTGTGATCTGGAGCAGACTTTGGCATAAGGGGACCACTGGAGTAGGTCTTTATGTCTTGGTTTCTGCATCTGTAAAAGAAGAAGAATAGTAATACCCATCTCCTCAGGTAATTAACATTTAAATGGGTTAAATGATAAAAACCTCTTAGAACAAAGAAAGTATCATGCAGTGTTAACTACCATCATCATTGTACACAAACATCATCTCTTGGATTTCTATAATTAGTTTTGGTTATTTACTTCCTCATCAGAATGAATCTTTAGTTGTCAGCAATTTTTCAACACTCTTCAGCAACAGTCAGTCAGCTCTTGTTTTCCTGTATAAAATGACTCTAAAGTCTTTTGCAAATTTCTACGTAAGAAATTGAAACAATAATAACACAAGCAGTAGTCATTTCAGTAAAATTACTAGGAGAGATCTCTCATCCTGGCCAGACTTTCTCCTAAGTCTAAAGTCCAGGTATTTGTAGTTTTAACAAGTCCTATAGCCAGAATTAGGAACTACAAAAAAAGGAATGTGCTAGATCGGGAATCTAAGTGCCTTGACAATGAAAATATACAGCTTGGTTCATTCCTGCAGCTCCCTGGAGATTCACCAGCTTTATGGAAAAAATGGGGCCATTTGTGCTTCTCACTAATTCCAGAGCACTTCTGTTTGTTTACTGTGTGCTCATGCCAGAGAAAAAAGGCAGAACCCAGTCCACACAAGTCACGTCACATTAGTGCTTGTATCCAGAGACAAATGGCTCCATTAAACACAGAGAAAGCCTTCTTATACTTGGACGATCAGCTGAAAACACAGAAATTGAATTTCACACTCATAGCGCAAATCTATCTTTACACTACAGTCCCCATAAGTACTTCAAGTGATTTTGTGTGAATAGTTTCTGAGACGCGATTACAAGATATGACTGCTTTGTGGGGGAGGGGCGATCACAAGAAGCATTATCTCATTAGCACTGTCAGCTTTGCCACAAGGTGACATTATGAAAGAAATTAGCAACTCTGTAGAATATTAAGGGAATAAATACATATTTTAATATAATTTGGAAGACACTGTAATAAGGCCCAGTCTAGATAATCCACTACTTTCATTATCATGTGCTTATGGTTGAAAGTAAACTCTGAACATCAAAAAACAGGCCTATTCATTTTAAGAAGAAAAAAATATGTAACAACTTTCCAAACTATGGTTTATATAGGTGCTGGTGATCTCAAGGCCCAGAAAATATGATGGGCTTGGTAAAGGCCTCCTCTGGCAGATTCTGGAGCCTGCCACTAAAGGTGGTTTCTAGTTACCTGGGCCCAGGCATCTGTTTTCTGCCCAGCTCTGTTTTCTTTTCTAGTGAGGCAGGGAGAATAGGAAGAAGGAAACTACCAATCAGACACTCGTTGGGAATCTAAACACTCTTCAGCAACAGTCAGCCAGCTCTTGTTTTTTTCTATGCAATGACTCTAACATATTTTGCAAATTTCTACAAAAGAGATTGAGGCAATTGATAAAATACAACATCCCTTTATGATTAAGACTTTCATCAAAATTAGTAATTCATGATTGCTAAGACATGGAACCCACCCAAGTGTCTGTGAACAGATGAATGGATTGAAAAAATATGGAACCGGCTGGCAAGTGGCGTGGTAGTTAAAGGCGCTGGACTCCCACATGGCCAACCATGGTTCAAGTCTTGGACCTGGTAGCTTCCTTTCTTACTGCCCCACTCACCCCATCTCTCTCTGGTCAAATTAGAAAATAATAAAGTTAAAATAATTCTTTAAAGCAAATACGAAACATATGCTCTACAGAATACTACTCAACCATAAAAAAATGAGACCCTGACATTTGATAGAAAGTGGACGAATATAGATTTACTGCTAAGTGAAGTAAGCCAGAAAATGGAAGAGGCATTGTATGTCCCCACTCAATATATACCAAATGTCTGCACTCTATGGCAGAAACTGAAATATTGGACAATATAAAGGCATGGAGAACAACTGTGGACACCAGAGACAGTGTGGGAGGAGGGTGGGAAATGGCGGAGTATGAGAGGGAGGAATCAAGGGGAATAAATAAAGAAGTAAAACAGTTAAGAAACAAAAAATGGAAAATTATCTGTTGAAGATAATAGGTGTGGTAATATCTTTGGGGCAATATTCAGTGTATTCTGGATGGGAAAATTCATTTTGTATGCTGTAATGATATACAGTGACTAAATATAAAATAATAAAGAAATTGAAGCAATGACAGAAGCAGCAGTGGTTTCTGTAATATTATTAAGATAGAGCTACTATCCTGGCCAGACTTTCTCTAAATCTAAACTTCCGACATTCTTAGTTTTAAAAGATTTCTTTACCACATGCAAGAGAATGTTCTAGATCAGGAATCCAAGTGCCTTGACAACGAGAATGTACAACTTGGTCCATTCAGGGAGGGTGGAAAGGAAACTCTCTTTGCTACATAGATGCTGAGCAGATTCTGACAGTTATCTCCATGGGTGTCTCCTGTACTCAGACGGGGCCCATTGGGAGAATCTCTAACCTGCTTCCTGTCAGCAAGCCCCATCCCTTACTCACTAGGAGATCTTAGTCAAGTTACCTTATTTTACTGAGCCTGTTTCCTCATCTATAAAAGGGGGTTGCTTGCTCATAATATGCTGTGAGAATTAAAAGAGATGACAAATGTGAAGCACTGAGCTCTGGGTCTAGATCACGGGAGTTGTTTACCACTCTCCCTCCTTTCTGACAGAGAAGGAAGGGATTCTCAATTTCTCTCTAAACAGCAATAACAATAATAAGCTCTCCTGGACTATAAATTCCTGTATGTCATAGGCTTCAAAAGAAGCTGAGTGCATTTCTTTTAAAGAGAAACACACTCAATTTTTCTTTATTTTTAGTATGGAGAGAAAAGCAAAAATACACCATCAAGAAATGTAGATACTAGTCTCACCTCTCTAATTTGTTGTGTGACCACTAACAAAGCTCTTGATCAGTCAGATTCCTGGTTACCTCGGCAAGTCAATCCTCACAATGACTCTCAGCTTAATGTTTGCTGGCCGACTCTACTACATGGCTGAGACTCTGCAGAGTATACTCTTCAGTCAGTGTTTGCCTGAATCCCTTTCCTCTTCCAGAAACAGCTTCCCAACATGGCTATATAAGATCCCTGGTCACCCTGGCCAGAGCTGATTCTTCCAATTCTGATCTAAATGGGTTAGTCAGAGTCTTCTCCATGAGCTGTTCTGGAACTGAGAAAATTCTGAAAAGCATTAAAAGACAGCTCAAAACCTGTTGACAGCCATCGTGCCAGCCATTTGGTGGAATACAGACTGCAGTGAGAGAGAAGCAGAGAGAGATGCATGGAGCGTCTAGCCAATATTGGACTCTAATTCTGATGGCCTCAGACACTCACCTGTAACTCTCTTCTCTCTGCAGTTTAGATGTTTCCTTTCTTGGATTCTATGTATGAAATCTCTTTTTGCCAGAGCTAGTTTGAGTGGGGTTTCTGTTACTTGAAACTAAGAATCCTGACTTAGAACATCTTTTAATTTAATCTAAACACCTCTGCGTTCATCTGAGATGGCCTGGTTTTTAATGTTTTATTAAAATTACTCTTGGGACCAGCAGTTAGTGTAATGGCTATGTCGCTGAACTCCCATGTAGCCGACCGTGGTTCAAGTCCTAGACCCGATGCCTTACACTCATGCCGGGCACGTGTGCATGCATGCTCAAAATCTCGAGAGGAGAATGGAGGAGAAGGGATTGCAGCATTGTCATCTCCCCGGGGGGTGATTTCTCACTTTCTATCTCTCTGTCTCTCTCTGTCTTTCTGGTGAGTGCATGTGCCCTATAAAAAAAAAAAAAAAAAAAAAAAAATCTGTTACACTACCCTTGAAATTCAGCTTCTGTTGCAAGAAGCTGTTACCTCAGGGAAAAACTGGGAGTTCCCTAATGGTATTTAATCCTGACATCTCCAGGCCCAACACATATCCTCTCTGTGAGGGTCCAAAAAAAGAGAAATGTGTTGGAGAACAAGACCAGCAGGGTGGAGAGACAAAGCTATCTGGAATCCCTTGGAATTGTTTGCTTTCAATTCTTCTCTGTTAGTATAGTGGAGCTTATTACAGAGCGAGTCCAACTTTCTGGGAAGAGAATATAAATTTGTCTCCTAGCAAGTTAGAACACATTTAGGAAAAACAACAACAACAGCAACAACAACAACAACAACAAAAATAGTCAACAATGACTCCAGGCTCTGCAGTTGTCCATTCTAACATGGTGGGACAGAGTAACCCTAGAGATCCAGGTCTTAGATGAAGCTCAGTATTTCATGAAACATCAGAAACTCCACATTTCACAAAAAGATCCAAGAACAATCTTGTTTCCCAAGGAGTAGCTTTTTCACTTGCTGCCTTTCCGTTGGCTGCCTACAAATTAATCATGAATATAAATGACAGCACTGCTCAGCCAACTGCCACCTTACCCTGCTCACTGGAATAGCAGTGAGGAAATCAAGAACAGGATGGAGTCCTAAGAAAAATCAATGGAGCAATGCAAGGCTGAGTGCCCAGACAGACGCTGAATGGTTGGGTCTGCCAAACTCCAACACTGCAGGAACACAGATTGCCTTTACAGGACCCTGGTGTATCCTGACAGGCGGCAGTGGATGCCTTCTGCATTTGATGCCACCCGACAAGAGTGTGGACTGATCATTGACTCTTAGCAAAAAATGCCTCAGACTTCTAGGGCATATTATTTTCAGTGTCAAAGCATGCCAATTGGGGCTCTTTTAACTGCAGTGACGGAAAACCAATTTAAACTGGATTAAACAATTTTGAGAGCCATTGCTTATATAAGAGGATATTTCCTTGCGAAGATAGGGTGAGATTTGAGTTCCTTGATATTATCAGGCTCATGATATGACCCAAGTTCTTTCCAGGACTCTGCACTGCCAAGGTCACCAGCATCCTAAAGCTGGTTTTTCTCTTGGCCATAAGGTAGCTTCTAGCAGTAACCAGAACTGCATACACTCTTGTTCATGTTCAGTAAGAGAAAGGGAGAGTTGCTTTTGGAAG